GAAAGACCGCGTTCATATGGATCTTCTAGGCCCATGGACATGGCGACAGTTGCGCAACTGGCAGCCCCCATTGAGCGCGAGGCTTAGTTTAAGGTCCTCGCAAGACTGCAAGACTGCTCTCCGCTGACACAAAGTGTGACAAGTTCACAGCGGGAACGCCGCAAGCTGTCTCGCTCAGACCCACCCGCCCTCCCACTACATACGTAGCACCCGAGTCTCAGCGTAGGAATGGGTCACCATCGATAACCATCGGGAGCCACCGTAGACGCCAGCAGGTGCGCGACGCCCGCGAGGTGCGCCGCACATGCCAGGTGCACAACGCGCACCAGGTGCGCCACATTGGGCAATATGCCGACCCTCTCACCATCCCTGTCAAAAGCCACTGCGTGTTGACGGCGGGTTTGCCAGCATTGTGCCTTGCGTATGTACGTGAGTGTGTGTGTATCTGTGCGTATGTGCACCCTCAAACACTTTGCACAGAGCACACAGCAGGCAATATGCCACCCCCCGAGCACCCGTTTCGATTCGATCGATCGACCGATCCGGTTTGACCCCATTCGAATCGAATTTCCAACCCACCGATCCGGTTTGTCGTTCCGATCTGGTTTTTTCCGATTCCGATTCTGTTTGCGGGGGACCGATTCGTGTTTTTTGTCATGCTCCGGCAAATCGAATCCGCGAGATTCCCATCCAGTTCTCGTTGAGAAGAAATCTCCATCCCTCCCTCCGTCCTCTCACGTCCCTTCCGTCCTTTCGGTCGTCTGTCGTGCGTCGTCGTCGCCGCCGCCGTCGCCGCCGCCGCCGCCGCTGCCGCCGCCGTCGTCGTCGTCGTCGTCGTCGTCGTCGTCGTTGTCGTCGTCGTCGTCGTCGTTGTTCTCGTCGTCGTCGTCCTGTCCGATCCAATTCTGGTGCGACCTCCTGTTTCCGATTTCTGAGCCGATGCGACGATCGCGGGTTTGGGTCCCGACTCCGGGAGATTCGACCAGATTTCGACGTCCACCCGGCTTCCCGATCCGATGCTGGCCCCTATTGCTCCCGCCGCCGTCCCTGGCAAAGTGCACATTGTATCTTTTTAATGGAAAGGGCTGGCGGGCCTAAAAACAGCAGGCAATGTGCCGGCAATGCAGGCACTCCAGCGCCGGACCCGCCAAAATCAATGTCCAGTGATCGCGTGGCGCCCGCGCATGTTTTTTTTGGGGGGCCCCGCTGTCCTTGTCAAGCACTAATGCAAAGTGATCGCGGGGCACCCGCGCATGATCCAAATTTTGGTGCAACGTGCACTTTGTTTTTTTGTAATGGCCGGCGGGGGGGGTGTTAACATTGCACAAAGCAGGCAATATCCCGGCACTGAATTCAAATTCAAAGTGATCGCGGGGCGCCCGCCCATGATCCAGATTTTGGTGTGAAATGTGCACTTTGCATTTTTTTTTTGCAAGGGGTGGTGGCGGGGTGTTGGCAGGGTCCTGGGCTTGTCGCCATTCGAGTAGGGGGTGTTTGTTCATAGGAACAACGATAATTTCTTCATCGATTAGGGAAAAGGGGGAGCATGAAGAGGAAACTCGCTGAACCACCTTAGCCCTGAGAGCTCCAAGAGAGCTTGGTCTAGCGTATTTCTTTTTTCTCGAGCAGAAGGGAGAGTGAGGATTTCCTGCAGGTCCCTGCAGGTTCCCCCCCTCCTTCGCACCAAACTCCCCTGACCTGGTCCCAAGGTTTCCAGGTTCAGCCTGCTGTGAATCCGGCGCGATACCGAAGGGAGCGGACTGAACCGCGGGATGTCTTTTTTTGCCCGGATCTGGCTCCTGCATGGACGCCGAGCTTGCCGCCTATCTTTCGGGCCAGCGAGACTTGGACAACTGAGTAGCGATATCTTGCTTGCTTGCCGTGCCTTATAGTTGGGTGGCCTCAGATGCGCCGCCGAACTCCCCTGACCTGGTCCCAAGGTTTCCAGGTTCAGCCTGCTGTGAATCCGGCGCGATACCGAAGGGAGCGGACTGAACCGCGGGATTTAGTCGTTGTTCGGCTCTGGCGGTCAAAACGCTCCCTGCATGGACGCCGAGCCTGCCGCCGTTCTTTGGGGCCAGCGCGACTGGGACCAGTGGAGAGAGGTATCTTGCTTGGTAATTAGCCGTGCTTTATAGTGGGGTGGCCTCAGATGCGTCGCCGAACTCCCCTGACCTGGTCCCAAGGTTTCCAGGTTCAGCCTGCCGTGAATCCGGCGCGATACCGAAGGGAGCGGACTGAACCGCAGGATGTAGTCCTTGTTCGGCTCTGGCGGTCAAACCGTTCCCTGCATGGACGCCGAACCTGCCGCCCACCTTACGGGCCAGTTCGACTTTGACCAGTGGAGAGCGTCACCTTGCTTGGTTGCCGTGCTTTAGTGTGTTGGCCTCAGATGCGTCGCCGAACTCCCCTGACCTGGTCCCAAGGTTTCCAGGTTCAGCCTGCTGTGAATCAGGCGCGATACTGAAGGGAGCGGACTGAAACGCGGGATTTAGTCGTTGTTCGGCTCTGGCGGTCAAAACGCTCCCTGCAACCACGCCGAGCCTGCCGCCGTTCTTTCGGGCCAGCGCGATTTGGACTAGTGGGCACCGATGCCTTGCTTGGTAGCCGTGCTTTATAGTGGGGTGGCCTCAGATGCGCCGCCGAACTCCCCTGACCTGGTCCCAAGGTTTCCAGGTTCAGCCTGCTGTGAATCCGGCGCGATACCGAAGGGAGCGGACTGAACCGCGGGGTTTTGTCGGTGTTCGGCTCTGGCGGTCAAAACGCTCCCTGCAACCATGCCGAGCCTGCCGCCTATCTTTGGGGCCAGCGCGACTTGGACCAGTGAAGAGCGATACCTCGCTTGGTTGCCGTGCTCTGTAGTGTGGTCGCCTCAGATGCGTCGCCGAACTCCCCTGACCTGGTCCCAAGGTTTCCAGGTTCAGCCTGCTGTGAATCCGGCGCGATACCGAAGGGAGCGGACTGAACCGCGGGGTTTTGTCGGTGTTCGGCTCTGGCGGTCAAAACGCTCCCTGCAACCATGCCGAGCCTGCCGCCTATCTTTGGGGCCAGCGCGACTTGGACCAGTGAAGAGCGATACCTCGCTTGGTTGCCGTGCTCTGTAGTGTGGTCGCCTCAGATGCGTCGCCGAACTCCCCTGACCTGGTCCCAAGGTTTCCAGGTTCAGCCTGCTGTGAATCCGGCGCGATACCGAAGGGAGCGGACTGAACCGCGGGATTTAGTCGTTGTTCGGCTCTGGCGGTCAAAACGCTCTCTGCATGGACGGCGAGCCTGCCGCCTATCTTTGGGGCCAGTGCGACTTGGACCAGTGGAGATCGATATTTTGCTTGGTAGCCGTGCTTTACAGTGGGGTGGCCTCAGATACGCCGCCGAACTCCCCTGACCTGGTCCCAAGATTTCCAGGCTCAGCCTGCTGTGAATTCGGCGCGATACCGAAGGGAGCGGACTGAACCGCAGGATGTAGTTCTTGTTCGGCTCTGGCGGTCAAACCGTTCCCTGCATGGACGCCGAGCCTGCCGGCTATCCTTCGGGCCAGCGCGACTTGGACAAGTGGAGAGCGATATCTTGCTTGGTTGCCGTGCTTTAGTGTGTTGGCCTCAGATGCGTCGCCGAACTCCCCTGACCTGGTCCCAAGGTTTCCAGGCTCAGCCTGCTGTGAATCCGGCGCGATACCGAAGGGAGCGGACTGAACCGCGGGATTTAGTCGTTGTTCGGCTCCGGCGGTCAAAACGCTCCCTGCATGGACGCCGAGCCTGCCGGCTATCTTTCGGGCCAGCGCGACTTGGACAAGTGGAGAGCGATACCATGCTTGGTAGCCGTGCTTTACAGTGGGGTGGCCTCAGATGCGTCGCCGAACTCCCCTGACCTGGTCCCAAGGTTTCCAGGTTCAGCCTGCTGTGAATCCGGCGCGATACCGAAGGGAGCGGACTGAACCGCAGGATTTAGTCGTTGTTCGGCTCTGGCGGTCAAAACGCTCCCTGCATGGACGCCGAGCCTGCCGGCTATCTTTCGGGCCAGCTCGACTTGGACCAGTGGGTTGCGATACCTCGCTTGGTTGCCGTGCTTCATAGTGGGGTGGCCTCAGATGCGTCGCCGAACTCCCCTGACCTGGTCCCAGGGTTTCCAGGCTCAGCCTGCTGTGAATCCGGCGCGATACCGAAGGGAGCGGACTGAACCGCGGGGTGCAGTTGTTGCCCAGCTCTGGCGGTCAAACCGTTCCCTGCATGGTCGCCGAGCCTGCCGGCTATCTTTCGGGCCAGTGCGACTTGGACAAGTGAAGAGCGATACCTTGCTTGGTAGCCGTGCTTTATTGTGTTGGCCTAAGATGCGTCGCCGAACTCCCCTGACCTGGTCCCAAGGTTTCCAGGCTCAGCCTGCTGTGAATCCGGCGCGATACCGAAGGGAGCGGACTGAACCGCAGGGTGCAGTTGTTGCCCAGCTCCGGCGGTCAAACCGTTCCCTGCATGGTCGCCGAGTCCGCTGCCTATCTTTCGGGCCAGCACGACTTCCGAAGGGATCGGACTGAACCGCGGGATTTAATTGTTGCTCGGCTCTGGCGGTCAAAACGCTCCCTGCGTGGACTCCGAACATGGTAATCATCTGGTGGCTCAGCGCTCTTCGAGTCGTGTTTGTGTGTGTGTGTGCCCGTTCGCGTTTCGTACGACCTACCAGCGCCCTATCGCCAGCGCAGTGATTCTGCCTAGCCGCCGACGGAAAAAGCTTGTGTGTTGCACGGGTCTGGTAGGATTGCGGCAGTTGCGTCGACTACGGCGACGACGACGACAACATGGAGGACGACGACGGCCTCCAGGGATCTCTGCGGGTCCCTGGAGGCTTGGATAGTGCCCCCCAGCGGCCTAAGAAACGCACATCCTCGATCCTGGAGGACGAAGACGAAGACGAAGACGATGGCGCTCGGCGCTCCCAAAATGACGACCCTGACGACGTCGAGGACGACGACGAGGACGGCGAGGACGACGATCCGACGGTTGGCGCTAAAGGTGCACGAGAGGGACGTCTACACGGATTTCTTGCTCCTGCTGATCCGTGAGGACTTGCTGTCTTTCCTGCCGCCCTCTCCCGGGGGGGAGGAGGGGGAATGAGGGTGACGCGGAGGAGTGGGCGGGAGGGATGTAGCAGGAACAAGCAGGAGCAGGTGGATTGGGCAGGGGCAGGGGGAGGAGGAGGAGGAGGAGGAAGAGGAGGAGAGGAGGAGGACCAGTGTAAACCCAAGAGTCATCAACGATGTTGGAATAAACCCTCCCTCCACGCTCCCTCTTCATAGGCACACACAACGGTGCATTTCCATTGAGGGAACTGCCTCGTTAGAAAACAACCGTTTGAAGGCCCTGAAGCATGCCAAAGCATTGTTCTCGGGATTCCAACGCCACGGATGAACCTGACTGTTGCGTCTCGACGATCCTGAATCGTGCCAGAACGCCATTCCTGGGACTTCAACACAGCGGATCAACGTAACTGTTGCACCCGCGTAAGTTTGATTCCGTTCAAAACATTCTTTTGGTACGTTGATGATGGGAGTCAGTGAAACTCTTGCAAACTGTGTCAACGAATGTGCGCGGCGCTAAGGCGAGAGCCACATTTTGAAAACTGAACCGCCCTCAATCTGTGAACCTCTTGCAATTCTTTAACATGAATGTACGCGGCGCTACGGCGAGAGCCACATTTTGAAAGGAACCGTCCTCAATCCGTGAAACCCTTACTGTTTTTTAAACAGTATGTGCGCCGCGCTACGGCGAGAGCCACATTTTGAAAGGAACCGCCCTCAATCCGTGACACCCTTACAGTTTTTAAATAGAATGTGCGCCGCGTTACGGCGAGAGCCACATTTTGAAAGGAACCGCCCTCAATCCGTGAGACGCTTGCGAATTTTAATACGAATGTGCGCCGCAGTGAGGCCAGAGCCGCATTTTGAAAACCACCCGCCCTCCATTTGTAAACCTGCTTGCATATTTTAAACATCAGAGTGGTAAACGGTTAGGAAGTCTCAGGCGAACCGCCTGGACCGCCCTAAAAACTGGCCTCGGGGTGCGACAGGGAGAAGTTAGTTACAAGGAAGAGGAATGGAGGAGGAGGAGGAGGGACACGAGGAGGTGGGGGATAAGGAGGAAGGGGATGAAGAGGTTGGGGAGGATGCATCAACGATGCTGCAATGCACCCTTCCATCGGGAGTTCCCTCCTCCTAAGCCCCTTCAAGCGGGCGGGGTCACCGTTTTGAAAAGTGATTGCGCTGCCTCTTCCTAGCTACTAGGCCCGGGGACAGGTATCAAGTTTAGAACAGAATCCGCCCTCCGTTGGTGAGGCTATTTCAAAATCTGATCCACGCTCGGTGTATCTCCACCAGTCCATCCAGAAACGATGGCCAGCCGAGTTGATTCAAAGAGGTGAGGGGCAGCTGTCAAGCCAAAGCCATGGATCAGCATGACCATACCCAGGAGTGAAGTGGAGGAGGGATGGGAGATGAGCAGGGAGATCTGAGCAGGAGGTGGTGGGCACGAGGGTCGACAACTACGACGACGACGGCATGGTGTTGTGTCCTGTTGTACTTGTAAGCCTCCTTCTTTTGGATGTCTCGGGGCCCTCTCAGGGACATTTTGGAGCCCTTTGCGGCTCTCTTGGGGCCTTCGTGAGGCTCTCTTGAGGCCTTTTCGGGGGCCTCGGAGTCCCTCTAGTGGCAATCTTGGAGACCATCGATCAAATAGGGGGCGGCTTGTAGTACCCCCCCATCGGAGGCGGGCTCTTCCCCTTTTGGGGCCTTCTTCGGCTGCTCTTGGGCGCTCCTGGGCCCCAAGAGCCCAAGACGGCCCAACTCGGTTCCCCAAATTCTTCCAAATCGCGGCCAGTCGTCAGGGCCATCGGACGTGCGCCAGGCATTACACTACAACGGCACCAACGACTCGAAGACGCTCCCGAAGAGGCTCGAATGTAATTCTTGAGAGTACTTTCGGCTCCGATTTTGGTTTGATGTTGGTCGATTTGCGATGACATGTGTTGGGGCCCATACATCAACAACACGCGCGCTTCTGTGCGAGCCGCCTTCTTCCCATGACCAGGCGAGGGGAAGTCTTGCGAAGTGGGGTAGGGCCAGTAGACCGGTTCCCGGAGGGGGCGAAGGGACTTGGTCGAGAGAGTTTGTTAAGCTTGCCACGCCCAGATGGCTGGTGATATTCAAATGGTCATAGATATTTGAGGATGGCTTAGGCGAAACGTCTGGTCTGCACTACCGACATGTCTGATTGTGCGACGAGGAGGCGGAGGAGCGTCGATCGAGAGGAGGGCAGGAGAGGGGGACGAGAAAGAAGAGGAGGAGGATATATATATATATATATATATATCAGAGTGAGGAGGATGAAGAGGAACATGCCGATAAGGCAGAGGCACAGCAGGAGGATGACGCGGAGGCAGATGATGATGATGATGATGATGGTAATGCTGATGGTAATGCTGATGGTAATGCTAATGCTGATGATGCTGATGATGCTGCTGCTGATGCTGATGATCCTGATGATGACGATGATGATAGTAATGGTACTGGTACTGATAATGATGATAATGCTGATGACGATGATGCTGATGATGATGCCGATGCTGATGGTAATTCTGATGATGATACGGATGATGTTGAGGATGAGGATGTGGGTACGGACAGGGATGCCGATGAGTATGAGGTGCTGATGATATGGTGAAGTTGATAAAGGTGATTATTCTGCTGCTGCTGCTGCTGATGATGATTATGGTGATACTGATGACGATGTTGCGTCTGCTGCTGCTGCTGATGATGCTGATGATGATGATGATGGTGAGGCTGATGCTGATGATGATGATGATGATGATGATGCTGAGGGTGATGCTGATTCTGGTGCTGATGCTGCCGATGATGATCATTACGCTGCTGATTTTGATTATGATGATGCTAAAGATGATGCTGAGGATGTTGATGATGATGCTGATGATGCTGATTAGTCTGATGATGCTAATGATGATGCTGACGGTGAAGGTGCTGCTGCTGATGCTTGTGATGACGATGCTGCGGATGATATTGATGCTAATGCTGATGATGCTGATGATGATCTTTACTCTGCTGATTTTGATGATGTTGATGATGATGCTGATGACGATGATGATGCTGCTGGTGCTGATGATGCTGCTGATGCTTGTGATGATGCTGATGATGACGATGATGATTATGATGATGATGATGATGATGATGATGATGATGATGATGATGTTGGTGATAAGTGTACTGATGCTGATCTTGATAATGATGCATATGACGATGATGATGTTGACGATGCCGATGATGCTGATTCTTATGATGATACGGGTGAGGATGAGGATGCGGGTGTGGATGAGGACAGGGATGCGGAGGAGGATGAGGATGGTGATGATGATGACGATCATGATGATGATGATGATGATGATGAGGATGATGATGATGCTGATGATGATGATGATGATGATGGTGGCGGTGGTGGTGGTGGCACTGATGAGGATGATGATGCTGATTATGATGCTGATGGTGCGACTGGTGCTGATGATGATTATGATGATGATGCTGGTGCTGAGGATGATGCTGATGCTAATGCTGATGATGTCGATGCTGATCACTGCGCTGCTGATTTCGATGATGATGGTGATGACGATGACGGTGGTGGTGCTGCTGATGATGATGGTGATGCTGATGCTGCTGATGATTTTGATGATTGTGAGGCTGATGCTGATGATGATGATGATGCTTGGGATGATGCTGATGATGATGATGCTGATGATCATTACGCTGCTGATTTTGATGATGATGCTGATGCTGATGCTGATGATGATGACGAGGATGCGGATAATGCTGATGTTGCTTCTTATTAGTCTGATGCTGTTGATGCTGATGCTGATTCTGATGAGGATGATGTTTGTGATGACGGTGAGGCTGCTGCTCATGACGATGATGATGCTGATGATAATGCTGATGGTGCTGATGATGAGCATTACGCTGCTGATTTTAAGGATGACGGTGATGCTGATGCTAACGATGATGATGCTGATGATGATGCTGCTGATGTTTATGATGACGCTGCTGAGGCTGATGATGATGACGATGATATTGCTGACGTTGATGCAGCTGGGGATGCTGATACTGATACTGGTAATTATGATGATGCTGATGCTGATGCTGATGCTGATGCTGATGATGCTGATGATGCTGCGTCTGATGCTGATACGGGTGATGATGAGGATGAGGATGTGGGTGAGGACAGGGAAGCGGGTGGGAATGACGATGCTGATGGTAATGGCGATGATGATGAAGAGGACGATGATGATGGTGATGATGATGTTGGTGCGTATTGTGAGACTGATGATGGTGATGATGCTGCTGCTTCTGATGATGATGGTGATGCTGATGATTATACACAACTGATTTTGATGATACTGATGATGATGATGATCATGCTAATGATGCTGATGCTGACGTTAATGATGATGATGCTGATGATGATGCTGAGGATGCTGACGCTGATGGTGCTGATGATAATCATTCGCTGCTGAGTTTGGAGATGATGATGGTGGTTGTGATGATGCTAATGCGGATGATAATCCTGATGCTGATGCTGCTGATGATGATGGTGATGACGGTGATGCTGATGATAATGATGATGATGACGACGATGATGATGATGGTGAAGAGGATGAGGATATAGATGAGGACAGCGATGCGGATGCGAATGATGATGCTGATGATGATGGTGATGATGATGATGATGAAGATGGTGACGATGATGATACTGATGGTGATGATGATGATGATGATGGTGATACTGATGATCATGATGATGCTGCTGATGACGATGCTGAAGCTGATGCTTATACGCTGCTGAGTTTTATGATGATGCCGTCCATGTTGAGTATGATGATGATGCCGATGATGATGGTCAGGCTGATGCTGATGATGATGGTTGTGATGCTGAGGATGCAGCTAATGCTGATGCTGATGGATGCTGATGATTATCATTACGCAGCAGATCTGATGATCATGCTGATGATG